GGGAACCACGTCATCTTGATTTTGATGGATTTGATTTTCATGGTTTCCCAATGTGTTATTACTGTTATTGTCGGTGTTGTTGTTTGACATGGTGACGACAATGGACAAGATATAGATTAAAAGAAAAGATTATCAGATTCCCGGTAACGGAACCAATTTGTTTAACCAAAAATCTGAGTCTTTGGTCAAAGCTAAAAAGAAATTCGGGTTACTGATAATCAGGAGACGAAAACAAAATACTTCTGAGAATGATGGTAAAGCAGTAAATAGTTTTGTATTTCAGTAGGATCCCAATAATCTTTCGTATCCTTACAGATGGTGAGTTCTTCTCCTTTTATAGCTAATTCTAGGAGAAGAGGTAATGCCTTTGTCTTAATGAGGCAATTATGAGCAATAAATGACATTAAAAGAAACGTTACACAATCATTTCTTTGTAAATATCAAATATTCTAACGTATTTGATATTTAATGCGATATTTAAACTCTTTTACGTCATCAGATTCGTATCTTCAACTTCTTCCGATCTTCGGCTTTTAGATGACTTGGATAGGTACGAGACTCGTACCTATTTTAGTAACGGTCCGCACCAATGTTGCTTTCTTTTTCCCTTATCTGTTGTCACCCGTGCCTCTTGGCTATTTATTGTGTTTTGACCGTTTGACCAGTCCACGTATCATGCCACGTAAATTCAGTTTTTTCCCAATTAAATATTGAACTAGGAATCAAGATCCCTCGATAAAGCAACTTGTTCTGCTTTATTGAGTGCATTCATTTGTTAAAGTTTCTTGTCTCTTTCAATGTAGCCTTTCTTTTTAATCTCATTTATTATATGTTTATTTTAGAGATTCTCTTAAAAGTTTGATCAGTCACAGGTCACAATTGATTCAATTTTTTAATCAAATGGCTCAAGCAGCCCTTTTCAGTTTTGGTCAGAGTAACTTCCTAATTAAAAGAATAGGTGACAACAAAAAAGAGAGACATCCTTCATTTCCTTACAGTTTCAGATTGTAAGGTTGCCAAATGATGTGCAGGTTATAACGCTTTTAAATTGATAACAGCCGTTGAAGTATTTGAGCAGCAAAAGTTCATCATAACGTGTGATTTCAAGGGGATTTAGACCACTAATCCTTACCTTTCTGTTCTTTCCATGGGCTTTATAGGTGAATGAATTGCATTAAAGGTAAGTCCTCTCAATTTCATTCCTTTTTCCGCTTCTCTTTTTGGTTGGGTCTACAAGGTCAAAAAAAACCCATATAAAAACTACACTTGTCCTTGAGTAAATAATAGCAGTCTGAGGTCGAAAGCTAGTTAAGGATAAAAAGGGTGTATGCCGTCAGCAATAAGACTCCTGAATTGGTCCAATAGGTACTTTATTATATATATATATATATATATATATATACTTGGAGCACGGTTTGTAACTTTTAGGTCACGGATCCGAACGGTAAAAACAGGCGTTAATGCTTGCATTAGGGTAATATATTTACAACTATTGTATGTGGGATGCGTTGATTGTTATCAGGTTAAATAGAGTACTTGTAATTGCTTTACATGATCTAGTCTTGTAAATATTTTCTATAGAACTTAATTCTTACTAATTGTTACCATTACCTTTTCTTTTCTTTTTCTAGCCACCATTAAATTTTTACTCGTTGTCAAAAAGTTGTGGTAGCTTCATACTCTGCGTTCACTCTAAATTTGTCCTACCTGCCACGCGCGGTTATTAGGACGAACACTTCAAATCACTCTTTTGTTTTTGTAGAAGAATCAATCTGATCGAGGAAGAGCTCAACTGGCAATATTAGAGGGTTATACATGAAGTATAGCTAGTTCCATTTTAATAACTCAAGTAAAAAGGGCTTCATATATATGTTTTCTTATGCAGCCACCTAACACCTGGAGAAATTCAAAAATAGCCAGATGTACAAGTGGTCATTCAAAAATAGTTATAATTTCAAAAGTAATTAAACTTTAGCCACTTTTCATGTAAAGATAAATATGAACGAAAACACTATTCAAAATCCGGAAAAATACTCCAGAATAATATACTGGAACTCCAGAATAATATACTGGAACTCCAGTATAATATACTGGAACTCCAGTATATACCGGTCCAGCATAATATACTGGAACTTTCTGCGTGTTGGAGTTCCAGCATAATATGCTGGAAGTTCATACACATGTTCACCGATCTTCGGTATATTATGCTGGAACTTTCCGTGTTGCAGCAAAATAGTAGCTATTTTTCAATGACTTTACAAACGCTGACTATTTTTGAATGACCAGTCCGAAAACTGGTCAGCCCGTGCTATTTTAACCCTAACACATGCGAAGAGAAAAGATAGTGTTAGTGTATATCCAGATAGCCCAATTTGGCAACCATGACCAAACAAAACGAGGTGACCGCAGTAGGCACGCGCATGTCGAGAAGAATTGGTTTGGCTAGTATTAGAATTATTAAATTTGGCACCAAGTAATAATTTGTATAGCAAGTTGCACGTACACATATCACGTACGTCTTTTCCTTTATTCAGGTTTTATAATTCTGAACTCACAGAAGTTAGTCTAGTAGATGGCTCACTAGGTACCCATGTGGACAATTTAGTTAAAGTTGAAAAAAGGAGTATTTGAAGTTAAAGTTGAAAGAGTATTTAAAAGTTTATCATATCCTTTCTTCTTTCCATTAGGCGACACAACAAATGAGTTTAATGAGATATACTTTTTATTCGAGGTTAAAATTGACTAGGACACCATGCTATTGTCTTCTTTCACTTTTTATTTGATTAAAGATTTTTTTCCCTTGATTTTTTAACTAATATCTGTAAACGGAGGAGTGCATAAGCCCCTTTAGAGATAAGGGGCGATTTTCTTGTGGCAGTAATTGGGAATGAGCAAATAGGGGGCGACTCTATTTTAACATGGGCAGCAATTGAGAAAAGTACAAAACGTCCAGTATATATACATGTTACTCTCGATTACTTCTACTACCTACATGAAATTAATCCATTCACTTTTACCCACAATTAAACGTCAAAATGACTATGTAAGACTGTAAAAGTTAACTGTCTTACCCGAGTAACATGAAATGTCATACCAAATTACCACTAGCCGTTTGCTCGAGCAAAAAAATTTGTCTCAACGTGTTAGTTACTTCGACGTCAGAAAGTAACCTCTCATAACAGGTAAGATAGACATTATTACTAGACTATATCTGAACAAAAATTAAAGTAGTCAGTAGATATTGATTAGTGGAAGTTACAATTGTTAGGTGTTTGTCCAGATTTTCTTACCATATTTGATTTTTTTTAAGGAAAAGACAACATATTTATCAAATTTAATTTTCCCTTTCTTAAAAGAAAATTATAAATCTCCCATATTTGGCTAGTCTTTTTTCTTGGAGGAAAAAGGTTTTGACATCTATAAATTGAGGATACTTTCTTCTCATTTAGTAGCATCCACAATGTAGACTTTAAGCGGTTTGAGAGTCTTATTTAGGGGGAGAATTTGTGAGACACATGTTATGCTGTCATTTGTGTGTTCCTCTTTGTGAGATTGTTCTCTCAATATTTTGTACTCTCTTTTAAATAGGGGATTGCTCATCTTTGCATGTGGATATAGGTCGATTGACCGAACCACGTTAAATATTTGTGTTTCTTTTGATATATTTCTCTTTTGGTGTTTGATTTATCATCGTTCAATATTTACTTTATTGGCTTGACACCTAATTATTTTGACTCTAACAATCATGTGATGATGAAACTTTTGCACTATTAGTCCAGTTAATCAGATATAAAAGGTTACCATGGCTTTATGTTACATGTAACAGCACCAATTTCATTTCTTATAAAACTCCATGTAAATAATCTGATAATGTAATATATTTTTTTTATACAACTAGCTAGTGTATAGAAGTTAAAAGTTGATCGGTTATTACTCCGGAAAAGAGCATGCTCTCCTTTAGATGATAATAATATGATATGACCTAGCTATATGAAGGCAGCTCGATATATGTATAGCTAGTTAGAGAAAAAAACAATCCCAAAGTTACCACACCCCAAATCAAGGAATTAAAACCCCACGAGCATTTGTTTTTTAATGGCCTGAAAACACTCCCCAAAAGCAAGAAATTTTTCAAAATAAAGAAGAATAAGTACACATATAATTGAACGATCGATGGAAGAGCTAGCTATATAGAGAGGAAAACTAAAAATAAAACCCTCAAAGCTAGTCAACCCCACAAGTAAGAAATACTACTAAGTAAATATTTGAAAGGGACATATTGGTTTCTTCTACCTCTTGTGAGAAAAGCAAATACAGCCCTGAAAGCTTCAACAAAGTTTCGTTTTGGTGCTCACACAAGGAAAGAAGACAGACAAAGCTAGCTTAAAGGAAAGATAGGATTTTTTCCCCTTGAATATATATTAAGATGGTCTTATTTCTCTAGAATAATCTTTAGTAGGTAACTGATGGCTGGAAACCCTACAAATAACTGGTGGAGTATGATGATGAACGGAAGCATGCATCCCAATCATGAATCTCAGCTGTTTTCTTCTTCTTCGTCGTCGTCTCAGCATTTTTATGGATCTTCTAATTTTTTGGCTGATATTAATATTCCAAGCCAAGATTTCCCTCGCTCATGGAGTCAGCTACTTCTGTAAATACTCTTTATCTCTTTTCGTTTTTATTGGTCGTTATAGCCAGTTTAAGTTGTGTACAACAACAAACACAGTGAACTTTCACCAGTGAGGTCTGGGGAGGGTGAGGTGTACGCAGACCTTACCCTATCTTATGACGGTAGAGAGACAGCCAGTCCGTCTAATTTGTGTAGAGGGTTTAAATTTGTTACCTTAAACATTTGTAGTCTTTGTATTTACCATGTTATTTGTTATTAAACTTCACAGGCTCAAAGTTTTGTAGTGCGATTTAAAGAATCTTTCTTTGCCAATTACTTTTGGATTTCCAAAAAACTTCCATGGTATGAGTTTTGAGTTTCGCGTCTTATAGATCGATATAGACATCATGAAAACCAGTTGTTAATGATACTTAATTTCTTTTCGTTTCCTTCTATGACCAGAGCTTAGAGAAGGACGAGATAAGAGGACCCTATGAACAATATTGTAAAAATTCCATAATAGAGTCCGACCACACGACCAAATAAATTATCTTCATGTACAACGACCCTAATTTACCTAGTAGTAAAGATTGAAAAATCATCATCGCAATCTCCCTAACTATTTCTGTTATATTTCATTTTATGTGGATTATGTGTGTTTATCCAAGTCATGAGTCATGGTGTTTTGACTTGGTGAAACTTTAATTTTTTTTCTTCTTATTTTGTCCCTATTAATTTAAATTGCAGGACTGGATTATCTGGTGAACAAGAAAAGTCAGGTATGAGTCATTATCATCAGTATAAGAAGCTGCGGGAGAAGTGGGAAGAAGTCCAAAGTTTGAATTCCATCAATCCATCATCTTCTTGTTTTAGGGTTCCTGTTGTTGATGTAAACCCGCAAGTAGTGGGCCAAGTATTGTACGGTAATTACCAAGATTTGCCAGCAGCTTCATCACCAGCTAACTCTTGTGTTATCACAAATTTAAGCCATGATATTTTGAATTTTTCTGGTAATAAAATTACCAGTAAGGTGGAAGCCAAGCATCAACATCCAGACCATTCATCCGAGGTAAGAAAAGAAAGCGGATCGATTTTTAAACAAATAGCCGCTTAAATTCACTGTTTACTTTATATAATATAAACAATAATATACGTTGACTATATGTGGATTTTTTTCATCTTTATCTTTGCATAAAGTCAATGTACATAGGTAGCATTCCAAAAGGAAAAGTTGATTTTATGATAAATGCCGAAATACTCTATCATTAGCCAAACGAATTAATCATGATAAAATGTGATTAACTCATGGGTATTTACTCGAGTTTTTGGCAAAAATCATCCTTAAATTATAGCTCAAAGCAAGGGTACATCCCTATCTTATCCTAGTAAACAAAAACCATCCTTATACTATTTAAAAAGTTGCAAGAATCATCCTTCCGTTAAATTTTATCACAAAAACTAACCGCATCATCAAAAGACCATGTCCATCACGTGCCTTTCCCCCTCAATTTTCCAATATTGTCCCTCCTACCCGATCGTCTTACACCTTTGCCAAAAAGGACTAAGACTTCAAAACTAGAAGTTTCTTTCCATATGAACCTCACACCCAACTGTGGTATGATAGTTGGAACTCTCCGATCTCATGCTATACTATTTCTTGCTACCTTCCTTTTGGAGAGGAAAGTGCAAAGCCTTTAAAAATAGTGGAAGAGTTTTGACTTTCTAAGCAGCAACATGTATTTCAATGCACGTACGGTAGATTTTGATATTCTATCTTTAATTTGAGGTGATGATGCAAGGTTTGTTTTTAAAATGTGACTCCAACTTCGGTTTAGCTCAACTATTGTGAAATCACTCACTCCGACAAATGGAAGAGAACTAATCTAGTTTCTGACTTTCAGGTTCTTGATTTAGAGCTAGAACTTTTTAATTTTTCTCATTTATAGGTAGACTAATAAAACTGACACAAAGAGAATCGGCACCCTCATCAAAGCTCGGCACAAATATAAGATTTTACATGATCATAATGCACTTTCACCTCAAGGTCGTGCCAATCTCTTGTTATCATCTGCTTGTTATAAGAAGATAACTTAAGGAGAAGTTATTTCAGTGTAGGCCATTTTTGTTCATTAAATAGTAGCAACTTTAAAGAAGACATAAGCAGCACCTAGTTCATCCTGCTACTTTTCTTGAAGAAGAAGAAGAAAGGGAGGAAACAAAAATTAAGAAGGAAAAAGAAGACGGTCAGCACGTTCTTGGAAAAGTCGATTGGGCAGGAGGGACAATATTGGAAAATTGAGGGGAAAAGGCACGTGATGGACATGGTCTTTTGACGATGCTGTTAGTTTTTGTGATAAAATTTAATGGAAGGATGATACTTACAACTTTTTAAATAGTATAAGGATGGTTTTTGTTTACTAGGATAAGACAAGGATGTACCCTTGGTTTGAGCCATAGTTTAAGGATGATTTTTGCCAAAAACTCGTATTTACTCACTTTGCTAGTTGTCACTTTTTTTTTCTTTTAGCTCCCAAAGTATGTATAGCTTCATCTATTTCTTCTTTAATTTGTTTTTGTTTTTTTTCATTACTTTGATAGAGTAACAGCACAAGCAGTGGAGGGATAACTAATAAGAAGGCAAGAGTTCAACATTCCTCAGCTCAACCATCTCTCAAGGTAATATAATTCACTCTTACATACTCCTCCAATCTTAAATTCTAAACAGATGTAATTAGATATTATGTTAAACAAGTTTTGCATCTAATCGAGCAATTCACTGAAAATTTATGTTGTTCGGATTCTTCAAAAATATCGTTAGTTGTGTGTACGATCCTTCAAAATAGTACATTTTTGGATGATTCCGCACAGTTACTGCAATATTTTTGAAAAGTCCGAGCAACATAGCTGAAAACTATATGCACAAACTAGGGGATATTCGAAGTTGAAGTCCTCATTAATTTAGTTTGTTTATATTTGAAGCTGCAGGTAAGAAGAGAGAAGCTAGGGGATAGGATAACAGCTCTCCACCAACTTGTTTCTCCATTGGAAAGGTAAACTAAATTAAACTTATTCTTGTACAATCTCTTAATTTTGCATATGAAGGGGAGCCTTGACGTAATTGGTAAAGTTGTTGCCATGTGACCAGAAGGTCACGGGTTCAAGCCGTGGAAACAGCCTTTTTCAGAAATGCAAGGTAAGGTTGCTTACAATAGTTCCTTGAGCTTAATGCACCGGGTTGCCTTTTTTTTTTTCCTTTTACTTTTGCTGTAGATTAATTTAGTGCTGACAGTTTATGATGAAACCCATAAAAGGAGATTACAGAAATAAATTTTAATCTTTCACTTTTGCTTTAATATATATACCCATGAAGCCTTGTCTTTTAAAATTATCAGCACAAAAGAAGATCTGAGGAAAAAAGAAATTAAAGGGAATGATCGAGTTTGGGTTAATGCAAAGGCATGGCATATATGTTTACTCTTTTGCAGTCTGACACGGTCTCCGTCTTATGAGAACCTATTGGCTACATCACATTCGTTGAGGGTCAAATTCTGGTCTCTCTTCTCTCCCAATTCTTAACCTACTTTTATATATATATATATATAGATGGGGTGGGGGTGGTGGT